CCTGCTCTAGAGAAGATAGAGTGATGGGTTCAAAATGGTCAAAAGGAGCTACAGATTGAGGTGGGATGGATGGGTCATGAGTTGGAGGGGAAATGAGAGCACGGGTGGTCGCAATTTTTTCCAAAAAGAAATGTAGGAAGTTCTTGCACAGCTCAGTCGAGGCTTCCAGAGGAGATGGTTCAGTGAGGTGGAGAACAGAGTTTAGGGTGGAGAAGAGGACACGTGGGTTGTGAGAGTTTGAGGTAATTATATCAGAGAAGAATTTGGATTTAGCAGCTTTCACTGCTTTCTGATAACAGCGCCAGTTGTGGAGTTTATGAAGGGTACACAAAATCTGAATTCCTGGACATGTCAGCATTAAACTTTTTTTGTTTGTTTGTTTTTCAGATCCTATTTTTTAACCATATTCTAAAATTTGCAATATCCTTTGTAAAACCTTAAAACGTGTTTTATTAAGTTTTGGCCCACTTAAGCTGGCTGTGCAGACTGCAGAGTTTTCACCAGTGTTTGTGTCTCGTTTCTACCTGGATTACTGAGCATGAATCAGGATGTTTCTGTTAACAAAAAATAATTTACTGCACTTTGCTGCATCAGCCTTTTCTTTTCATCCTCTCTCTCTCTCTGCTCCACCTTGTCTTTGTCTCTCTCGGTCCATCGGACGCATGTCAGTACGTTTCTCCGGTTTGGGTCTTAAAGCCATCCTGCAGGCTTTAACACCCAAACCGGAGAAACGTAGACATGCGCGCGCCGCGTGCGAACATATAACCTCCCGCACCTGTCCATAGAGGCGGGTGTGCGTGTCTACTTCAGACCAGAGCCCTGTAAAGAGAGAGTTGCGACACTCTTTGAACTCGCCGATACGCCGTCACGTGGTTCATGCAGCTCCAATAGTTCCAAACAGTTCATCCTGTCAGTCAGTTTGAGGCTGCTGGCACAACATAACACAGAAATCTACTTTTCTTACTTTACCTGCGTATTTCAGTAATTATTGATCAGTAACGAACTGATTACTGATTATTTCACGGACTATGCATTTGATCAAAGCATTTTTAGAAGCGGCTGATACATTTAATTGTAGAAGGAAAGAGACTGCAAACACATATTTGTTAGATAAAAATGTAAATGCAATACAATGATCAATATAGCCATGTCAGTGTTTTATA